ATTTTAATAGTCAATTTTAAATACCGTTTCATATGTTATGATTGAGGAGTTCGTAAAAGCGGTCGTGATTTGAATGTTTGAAATTTGGTTCGTTTTATAGAAAACGGAATAATCAGGTATTCCTTTATTTAGATTTTGCTTACTTCAAAATGGATACTTTTGGAACTGGTGCAACTCAATCTGAAAGGAACGAGTGTGGAGTTTTAAACTCAAACTTAAATCATTTTGATGATTTTATGGAGAAATTTCCTGCAGACCCTGCTTACATTGGTGCCATAATTGGTCGTGGCGGTTGTAAAATTAAAGAAATTAGAACAAACTTCAACGTTTATATACATATAAACAATGACACCAAGGAAATTTCTGTCAAGGGTCGTAATAGAAAAAATGTTGACGATGCAGTCAAATATATTCGTGATATTATGTCTGGTCAAGAAAATAGAAATTTTTCATTTCCAAATCACGAAGTCTCGCACAATCCCAAAGTTGTATTAAAAGAAAATACAATGAATCGTTTTAATGCTTCTTCCGAAAATGACAATATTCAGGTTGCAGCTCCAAAATCTGTAAGTATAAATTAAAAAGAAGGAGAATATGGATATATATTAATATAATATCTCATAACAAAATTGATTTAGGGAGAAAGTGGTGGAATTAGATTAAATGCGCCTACGAAAAATGTATATAATGGTGGCGCCGAAAACCATGTAGTATTGCAGCCTATCGATTGGGAAACTTTGAATAGAAAAGTTGTAAGAAAAATTTTTAAAATCTACATATTAAGTTATCGATTTACCATATTTATTTTGCTCACATGAGGCATTTTTGATTACAGGAAGAACATCGTAGGTTACACTGGGCGCATCTGCCAGACTTGAGAAAAAATTTTTATGAAGAAGTAGAGGAAGTCGCTATTAAGACAGAAGAAGAAGTGAATGAAATGCGTTATTTAAACAATAATATAAGTGTTTCCCGTTTGGTGACAAATGAAGATCAAATGTGTCCTGATATACCGAAACCAATTTGGAAATTTCAACATTGTTTCAAAGATTATCCTGATATCCTTGATGAGTTAAAGAAACAAAATTTTAATGAACCATCACCAATACAGAAGCAAGCATGGCCTATATTATTGAGAGGCGAGGATATGATAGGTATAGCCCAAACAGGGACTGGAAAAACTTTAGCATTTCTGCTTCCTGCTTTGATTCATACTGATGGACAGACTACACCACGTGAGAAACGTAATGGTCCAAATATATTAATTTTAGCGCCAACGCGAGAATTAGCATTACAAATAGCAAAAGAAGTTAACAAGTACTCGTTCCGTGGAATAAAAGCGTAAGTTAGGAAATAGTTAAACCATAGTTTAAAATGAATGAAGAAAAAAATTATGAAATTCTTATTCAGTGTATGCATTTATGGTGGTGGGAATCGTCGTGACCAAATTAGTGTTTTCAAAGAAGGAGCTGAATGCGTTATTTGTACTCCTGGACGTCTTAATGATTTGGTTCAAGCTAAAGTTATAGACATTACATCAGTTACATATTTAATACTAGACGAAGCGGATCGTATGCTGGATATGGGTTTCGAGCCACAGATCCGAAAAATTCTACTCGACATACGTCCTGACAGGCAGACCGTCATGACTAGTGCCACCTGGCCACCAAGTGTTGGTAGATTGGCCGAAAGTTATATGAACAATCCTATTCAAGTGTGTGTTGGTTCGCTTGATTTAACTGCCACTCATACTGTGAGTCAAAATGTAGAACTCTTGGAGGATGCGGACAAATTTAATACGGTAATATTATTTGAAAACTTAAATAAGAAGAATTATGAAGAACAATGTATTTATTCTTGTTGCAGGTCCTTGCATTTTTAAAAAACCTTAAATCAACCGATAAGGTTATTATCTTCTGTTCTAAGCGAGCTCGTGCTGACGATTTGTCCAGTGATTTATCTCTAAAAGGCCTGTCAACACAATGTATACATGGTTCTCGTGATCAGGTACATAATGCATTAACTTAATTAGAGTAATGTCTCAGAATATAAAATTCTTATAAACTTAAAAAAAATTGTCTTTAGACCGATCGAGAACAAGCACTGGCTGATATAGCGTCAGGTGATATACAGGTTTTGATAGCGACAGATGTTGCTTCAAGAGGTTTAGATATTGAGGATATTACGTAAGTGCTTAGTAGTATTTGAAACCGAATTTGTTGTATTAATTGTTTTTCATTTAGTCATGTTATTAATTTTGATTTTCCGCGTAATATTGAGGAGTATGTTCATCGTGTTGGTAGAACTGGACGCGCTGGGCGAACTGGCACTGCCATAAGTTATATAACACGCTCGGATTGGGGTGTTGCAAAGGATCTCATTCGTATTTTAGAAGAAGCTGGTCAAGCAGCTCCAGAAGAACTATACAGAATGTCCAATCGTTTTGAGAAGATGAAAGAAAGACGTGGTACAGATTTTAAAAGGGGTGGTGGTTTTAATCGCCGTTACTAAATGATATTTTTTTAAAATATGGTAGGGGTATTATTCGATAAACAAGATCGTGAATAACCCTGTTTGATTCGAACCGATCAGTGTTTTACTTAAAAAAGTGTTGATCGTTAAAATTGAAAATTAATTAACAAACTATTTCTAATGTTATTAGTATAATAATGTACAATAAGAAAAATCTAAAATAAAATTAATTAAAAATGTGTATTATTTAAATTGAAATACAAAATTACATTTTAGAATAAGGTTTTAAATAAGAAATATTTAAAATATGTTTTTTATACAGTGAACTTTGTTAATTTAATAAATTTAATCAATTACAACTTTATGATGATTCTATTGTGTTCTTACTTTTTCGTTTGTAAAAGTTTCAACTTTTTCCTGAAAATAAGATATTTTATTTGAAATTTTTTTAAGATGGAGATTAATTATTTGTACAGGCAACGATGTGAGTTAAATATTGTAATCGCTATATACGATTTTTAATCAGAGGCTGATAAAGTTGATTAAATTTCTGTATTAGTAAGTTTTCTAGTTGTTTCATTTAAAATGAATTTTAATAGGATTCAGTTTTAATAGGATTCATAAATGTATTGGATGAGGTATAAAATGAACTTAAAATAAAATATATATTTTTTTCACATTATACATATTTAATTTGAATGTTATTTTAAACAGACAATTGATAGACAATTGATCACTGCTCAAGTATAGTACTGTAGTCAAGTCAAGGTCAAGTCAAGCCAATGAATGCCATTATACTAACTTGAAATCTTTACTATCACTTCGAATGATCATTTCTCACTAAGCCATAGATAAGACCTCCTAAGAAATCAATTCATCTGATCAGCGAAGATCGTTATCGATGTCATTTGAAATAAATCTTTAATTTAATTAATTTAAATAATAAACGTCATTTAATTTAATAAAATTTGTTAAAGTTGTATACATATAATATTTAATAAAAGCAGCTATACGCAGATACGTGTTAACATGGCTGTCTGATTAAATGGAAAAGAAAGAAATTAGAAAGCACGCTTTCCAAATATTGATAAATTTTATCAATAATTTTATTTTATTATTCCATTGCGAGTGTAGATATATATTGTTCGATTTGTGGACTATAGAACAAGTAACATATAGTTGTTCATGTGGAAGATTATCTGTGTTGAGAGTTGAACCACAGTATCCTAAATATTGAACTAAGCTCGCTTTAGATGGTGATTGCAGACGCCAATAGAATTGTGAATTGCAATCTTTTGAATTGAAATGGCATATCCGTTAGAATTATTGGATTGCGGAGATTAAAGACATCTTTACCTTTGAGAGAGGTCTGTAATATTTGTATGATTAATATAATATTGTGATATATGATAATTGATACTACGATTTTCAATCACAGTAAATGGGGTAGAGTCGATTACGGTTAGAGTGAATTAAAAAATTCTGTTTGATATTTAATCCGTTTGTATGATTTCTTATTTACATGTCGGTTGCTAATTAACAGAATTTCAAAGTGAATTGAGTAGCTCTTCAAAATGATGTAGCATTTATCATTATCATTTTAGAATGAAATTATTTTTCAATATTTTATAACACTCGCGACAAAAGATTGGCCATTGATAAATCAATAGACACAAAAGGGAAAACCAAACGATATATTTTGAATAAATCACCGCCTATTGCACAAAATATATAAAAAATCATTAACATAATTATTAATATAATGAACTCAAAAACAATCCGAGCTACTCTGACGAAATAGATCTTTAATTTTGAGATCTCTAGTTGCCTCTTTCTCCGCAAATTTAGCAGATTTTTCATTTACGTTGGTATAAGGTACAGGCACAGGGTTTTGACGACGTATTCCAGACGTAAGTGCTTCCAAAATTTCTTAAGAGATCACATTTTTGTTTTTTTCCACGACTGATCTCTGTTTGACATTAGTATGACATTTTTAATGTTGTACCTTTTGCAGAAAGTTTTATGGTATATTGATTCTCAAACCAGCTCTTACTTGCATTATAAAAGACATGTTTGTCGTTTTCTTCACTGTTAAGCTAAACACGATCAGAAATACGGCTGGGTCGTTAATCGAGGTTACTGTTGTACGAAGTAGCTGTTAATCGAGTTATTAGTGTATAGGTTCTTCTGAGACGCTCTTCTCAGAATGCTAATCGGTACATTGTTCTTATCAATGTAACCGTAATTTTATGAATTGAATTTGATATGATTATATGAATTTGATATGAATATGTCAGAACTTTGTAAACTTTTATAATTTAACACATGTAGTATGAAAATAGTATGTGGGCTTACCTATTAAATAGTGTGCTAATCCGATTTATCCCCTTGTGAAATTCATTTGTGTCCAAAAAGTCTAAACCAAATTAATATAGTTACATCACGCAAATTTGAGTATGGGCTGCCAAATGTATTTATATTAATTTTGAAAGAACGACACAAGTTTTCTTGTTCATTGGTTACTTTTGCAAGAGACGAGTCGGTGGTCGGATCGTTTTTTTAGCGGCTTGTGTTTTTTCAATTGGATTTGGTTTTAAGGCTGGTATGTATCTTCCTCCAAAAAATTCGTGTTTCGTGATTCATGATTCGTGATTCGTGATACTTGATACGTGTTTCATGACTTCAGTTCGAATATATGTTCAACTTTATTCAATTAATTCTGGAACTTGTTAAAAATATTTTATAGTATTAAGAATTTTTGATTTGTTTTCGCAACCGACAAGAACTTGAAACAGCCGCCAATTTTGCTTGTTCCAAGAAATAACTGCAAATATAATGCACATATTAAACAAAAAGTTTTAAAGAAATCATTGTTTCTTTATTTAAAGAATTTTAAAACTATAATTAAAAAACAAAAATTAACTATAAAAAAAAATCACTGCAATTCACATATATTTAAGGTTATGTGACGTATTTGCAAAAAAAATCTCCATTTGAAATATTTATATAAGAATCATTGCGTGATGAGACTTAAGAAGGCGGCGGCAGTATTATTTTCGACATACTTTAAACATAAGAGTGCAATTGCTTTATTCCCTAATAATCAATGTTAAACATATTTTTAATTCTAATAGTCAATTTTAAATACCGTTTCATATCTTATGATTGAGGAGTTCGTAAAAGCGGTCGCGATTTGAATGTTTGAAATTTGGTTCGTTTTATAGAAAACGGAATAATCAGGTATTCCTTTATTTAGATTTTGCTTACTTCAAAATGGATACTTTTGGAACTGGTGCAACTCAATCTGAAAGGAACGAGTGTGGAGTTTTAAACTCAAACTTAAATCATTTTGATGATTTTATGGAGAAATTTCCTGCAGACCCTGCTTACATTGGTGCCATAATTGGTCGTGGCGGTTGTAAAATTAAAGAAATTAGAACAAACTTCAACGTTTATATACATATAAACAATGACACCAAGGAAATTTCTGTCAAGGGTCGTAATAGAAAAAATGTTGACGATGCAGTCAAATATATTCGTGATATTATGTCTGGTCAAGAAAATAGAAATTTTTCATTTCCAAATCACGAAGTCTCGCACAATCCCAAAGTTGTATTAAAAGAAAATACAATGAATCGTTTTAATGCTTCTTCCGAAAATGACAATATTCAGGTTGCAGCTCCAAAATCTGTAAGTATAAATTAAAAAGAAGGAGAATATGGATATATATTAATATAATATCTCATAACAAAATTGATTTAGGGAGAAAGTGGTGGAATTAGATTAAATGCGCCTACGAAAAATGTATATAATGGTGGCGCCGAAAACCATGTAGTATTGCAGCCTATCGATTGGGAAACTTTGAATAGAAAAGTTGTAAGAAAAATTTTTAAAATCTACATATTAAGTTATCGATTTACCATATTTATTTTGCTCACATGAGGCATTTTTGATTACAGGAAGAACATCGTAGGTTACACTGGGCGCATCTGCCAGACTTGAGAAAAAATTTTTATGAAGAAGTAGAGGAAGTCGCTATTAAGACAGAAGAAGAAGTGAATGAAATGCGTTATTTAAACAATAATATAAGTGTTTCCCGTTTGGTGACAAATGAAGATCAAATGTGTCCTGATATACCGAAACCAATTTGGAAATTTCAACATTGTTTCAAAGATTATCCTGATATCCTTGATGAGTTAAAGAAACAAAATTTTAATGAACCATCACCAATACAGAAGCAAGCATGGCCTATATTATTGAGAGGCGAGGATATGATAGGTATAGCCCAAACAGGGACTGGAAAAACTTTAGCATTTCTGCTTCCTGCTTTGATTCATACTGATGGACAGACTACACCACGTGAGAAACGTAATGGTCCAAATATATTAATTTTAGCGCCAACGCGAGAATTAGCATTACAAATAGCAAAAGAAGTTAACAAGTACTCGTTCCGTGGAATAAAAGCGTAAGTTAGGAAATAGTTAAACCATAGTTTAAAATGAATGAAGAAAAAA